GAAGGGTGGAATTATAGGATTGACAGAGGAAAAATGAGAGAGGTTCCCTTTGGTGGTTTTCATTAAAATCACTGTAGAGCAAGGAAGGCACAGAGAGAGAGAACTGAAGGAAGAGAAGGTATGAAATCACTTGCCCAGCAGGTCAGCAAGTGTTCTAGAGACTTAAGGCGAGGTCTGTGGGAAAGGTTTGAGTGCCAATTTGAAGTTTGACTTCATGATTTTAAATTGAAACAAATCTGATTGGTGGTATTTTTCTCCAGCAATATTCAGACCAGATCCTGCCAAGCAGCCTGTCTCTGTTTCTATCTACATCTGTCCTTTCCCACCTCTCTCTCTCTCTTTCAGAGACAGGGTCTTCCTCTATCACCCAGGCTGGAGTGCAGAGGTATGATCATGGCTCACTGCAGCCTTGAACTCCTGGACTCAAGCAATCCTCCTCCCTCAGCCTCCTGAACAGGGACTGCAGGCAAATACAACTGTGCCTGGCTAGTTTTATTTTATTTAAAATAGAGATGAGGCTTTGCTATGGTGCCCAGGCTGGTCTTGAACTTCTGGCCTCAAGAAGCAATCCTCCTGCCTTTGCCTCCCAAAGTACTGGGATTATGGGCATGATCCGCTTCCCTCTTTATAGCCCTTTGCTCCCACGTCCATCCTCAGGGGCTTCTCCCTTCTCTGCCTCCGACTTCCTGGAAGGATATTTCAGGAATCATTAGATTTAAAGGAATATGACAGCAGCCAGAAGATATGCCCTACTCAAGTTCAGCACCGCGGACAGCGTTTCACCAGCTCCTGAGTCCCCTGCCTCGTCCACACCCTCGTCTCCCAGCCTGTCCCTTCTTCTCCCCTTCTCCCCACTCCCCAGTCAACACAACCTTACTGAACTTTGCTACGTGAAATATAATTTAGTTCTGTATCTGCCTTCAAGGTCCAATGCTTGTTTAAATGTAGTCTAGCTGCGGAGCTCTCTGTATAAAAGCAAGGAAAGTTCAACAGCAGTAAAAGACTTGACAGTTCAATCTCACAATAGGAAATAAAACAAGTCTCCAGCCTGTCTTTTCTTTGAATGCCTCTAGAATGTTAACTCTTCAAGGGCCAGGCTAGTTCTTTCTCAGTCACCAATTTATCTATGATGCCAAGCTCAGTGTCTGGGAAGCAGGTACTAGATTAGTATTTATCAAATGGATGAGTTGAAAGCACACAAGTTGCCAGCAATCCCTAATAGGTCCCAAAGGCCTCCGAAGTCTGGCTGCTCTTTCCCCTTCATTTGCACCCTCATGAAGAAGTTCTCGTTGCAAGCGCAAAGGATGCACCAAGAGATCAAGTCTGGCTGAAGCTGGAGCACGTGTTAGAGTGCAAAGATCTAGACTCCAGTCACCTGGGCTGAAACCACAGCGCTGCCATTGATGGCTTTGCTTATTAGGTGAGGTCGTCTCTCTCTGAGTCTCAATTTTCCCATCTCTAATGAGGAAATCATAGTTTCTGCTTCACAGGACAGTCTTAACGAGTGGATTCAATGACTGCACAGGGTTTGGTACAGAGTGGGTGTTCATGGTTATTCTGAGACCCAACTTCATCTCCCATGGCCTCACTTTTTCCATTTCACAAAGTGAAATGCAATGAATATCTGGTCAGTGTGGCTTGAAGGAATTGCTATTGTGACAGTCCCCAGGTCAGAGCGATTTGTCCATTAGGCAGACAGGGATCCCCCTCCAGCCCCTGTAAGTTGTCCTCAGGCACCCCTAACCTTGAGTAGGACCTCTGATTTTTCCATATCTTTCTCCATTTTCCTCTTCATGCTTTTCAGCTCCTCTTTCTCCCATGTAAGCATACTGTCAGCTTTGTCAGGGATCTAGAAAACAAGGAAAGAATCCCTCACATCCTTGGGAAAGGGCTGGGAAGAGATTTCTCTTTCCAGGGTGGTAGAAGGTTTGCCAGCCTCATAAACTCTGAGTTTGAAGGATGAAGTTGGGGGTTCTCCCATCCTTTGGGTGAGGTGTCTCCCTATTTGAGAAGGTTTGATTTTTCAGTGGGCTCTCTCATTTGGGTTTTTTTTTTTTTTTTTTTTTTTTTTTGAGACGGAGTCTCGCTCTGTCGCCCAGGCTGGAGCGCAGTGGCGCCGTCTCGGCTCACTGCAAGCTCCACCTCCCGGGTTCACGCCATTCTCCTGCCTCAGCCTCCCGGTTAGCTGGGACTACAGGCACCTGCCACCGCGCCCGGCTAATTTTTTGTATTTTTTAGTAGAGACGGGGTTTCACTGTGTTAGCCAGGATGGTCTCGATCTCCTGACCTCGTGATCCGCCCGCCTCGGCCTTCCAGAGTGCTGGGATTACAGGCGTGAGCCACCGCGCCTGGCTACTTGGAGGGTCTTGCTGTCTGGAGCTTGAGATTGGGGGCTTCTCCCTTTTACAGATAGGAGCCCAGGGGGCTGAGATGAAGGTGTCTCAACTTGGGGGAGGGTTGTTCTCACCCCCTGAGACTGGGAGCTGGGCACCCCTTCCTCAGTGATGGTCTTATCTCCTCTCCCTGGCTACAGGTGGAGGGATCATATCATAGGGATGATGAGGGCTTACCTTTTTGGAGTCTTAATATTTGGATCTGGGGGCTGAAGGTAGGAATCCCATTCTGTGGGTGGGGTCCCATCTCTCCCCCGGGAGGCTGGAATTTTTGTACCTTTTGGGGTGGGGATTTGAGGTTTCACTTTAAGGGGAAGATTCACCGAGACTGGTACTAGAGGTCTCATTCTTTCTCTCTGGATGGGGCCTCAACCTTCGGGCGTGAGGGTTGGGAGTCTGAAGTCTCTATCTGCAGGGAGGACTTCTTCCTTTCACCACAGATGAGGTCTGGGGGCAGGGATTTTCACTTCCTGAAGCCAGGGGAGTTGGGTTTTATTTCACATTCTAGGGAGAGTTTCACCTGGGTTGGGACCAGGGTGTCAGCTGCTCTCCTCAGCTGGGAGTTGGAAGAGTGTTTTCACTAGGACTGGGGCACTGAGGGTCTCACACCTATGGAAGGGTCTTACCCTCTGAGCCTGGGATCTGGGTGGATGATTTTATGCTTGGACTGAGGGCTGTGGGTTTTACTTTTTGGGGGGATTTTCATGGAGTCTGAATCAGGGGCTGCACCCTCTCTTCCTGGCTGGGAGATTTGGATAATTTTCTCCTCTGGGGCAGGGAAGCTGAGGATCTCATCTCCTTGGACAGGGCTCACTCTTTGGGTCATGGGGGCTCAGGCATCTCGTCCTGGGCCTGTCTCCATCACCTTTTTTTTGTTTGTTTGTTTTTGAGTCTCACTATCTCCCAGGCTGAAGTGTAGTGGCCCTATCATATTTCACTACAGCCTTGAACTCCTGAGCTCAAACAATCCTCCTGCCTCAGCCTCCCAAGTAGCTGGGACTAGAGGCATGCATCACCATGCCTGGCTATTTTTTTTTTTAAACTTTGGTGCAGACAGGGTCTTGCTGTGTTGTCCAGGCTGACCTCAAACTTCTGGCCTCAAGCAATCCTCCTGCCTTGACCTCCTGAAGTGCTGGGATTACAAGCACAAACTACCACACCTGGCTAATTTTCCTCCAATTTTTTGAGAGATGGGATCTCACTGTGTTGTCCAGGCTGGATTGCAGTTGGTCTGATTATAGCTTACTGCAGCCTCAAACTCTTGGGCTCAAGCAATCCTCCTGCCTCAGCCTCCAAGTAGCTGGGACCATAAATGCATGCCACCACGCTGGGTCATTAAATTTTTTTTTTTTTTTTTTTTTTTTTTGTAGAGACAGGGTCTCACTATGTTGCTCAGGCTGGTCTCCAACTCCTGGACTCAAGTGATCCTCCTGCCGTGGCCTCCCAAAATGCTGGGATTACAGGTGTGCACCACCACCCCCAGCTAACTTTTCAAATTTTTTGGTAGAGACAAGTTCTCACTTGTCACCCAGGCTGGAGTACAGTGGTGCCGTCGTAGTTCACTGCAACCTGGAAGGCCTGGCCTCAAGCAATCCTCCCACCTAGGCCTCCCAAACTGCTGGGAATACAGGCGTGAGCTACTGCACCCGGCCCTCAACTTCTTTGCCCTTATTCACCAGAGTTGGGTGTTCTCTCTATGGAAAGATTTAAAAAAAAAAATTTTTTTTGAGATGGAGTTTTGCTCTTGTTGCCCAGGCTAGAGTGCAATGGCGTGATCTCGGCTCACTGCAACCTCTGCCTCCCGGGTTCAAGTGATTCTCCTGCCTCAGCCTCCCAAGTAGCTGAGATTACAGGCATGCGCCAGTAGGCCCGGCTAATTTTGTATTTTTAGTAGAGACGGGGGTTTCATCATGTTGGTCAGGCTGGTCCCGAACTGCTGACCTCAGTGATCCATCAGCCTCGCCCTCCGAAAGTATGGAAAGGATTTTTCCGGGGCTGAACACTGCATAACGAAGGCCTCAGTCTTTGCAATTAGGCTGGGGTTGGGGGCGGGGAGGAGGGTCCCACCTTCTCAGACTTGGGCCTGTAGCCCCGCAGCTTGACACTCTGCTGGTTAATAAGCAGGCCCTTGCGCACTTCGCTGAGCCTGTGGTCGGTGACCTCGCGCTGGCGCAGCAGCTGTCGCACCCGCCCGTTAATCTGGTGCTGCGCGCGGCCGAGGCGGGCGGCGGTGAGGCGCGCTCCACGCGCGTGCGCGTGCACCACCTCAGTGGTCTGCAGGGCGCGCGCTTTGCGGTGCAATGGTAGCGGCAGGCGGGCGTACCAGGCGGGCGGCTTCATCTTGCCCTTCCACAGCGTGACGCCCTCGCCTGGCGGCGGCTTCTCCACGGTGCCGCCGCCTTTGAGCATCTCCACGCGGAAGCGCCAGGGCTGGATGTAGGCGGCGCGGCCGAGGTGGTGCGCCACGTTCGGGTCCAGCACGCTGTCCTTGGGTTGCCACATGGTCACCGCCTCCTGCCCGCAGCGATCCGTCAGTATGTGCGCGGTTCTCGACAGGGCCTGAGCTGCCTCGCGCCATGCTGGGGCCCCAATGCGTGTGTCCTGGCTGCGCTCTACCGGGGGTGCCAACACGCGCATGGTCCCTGCTTGGTCCCTCGGCCTGGCTGGGGACCCCCAGGCGGATCAGAAGGGACCCCAAAGACACACAACTCTTTCCTGGCCTGTGGAGAGAGTGTACTGAGAGCGCCCGTCACCATAGCGATGGGCGCAACAAGGAAGGTGGAATTCCAGAGGTGGGGGGAGGAGTAGGATGGAATCTTTGCTTTGGAACTTGGCCTAAGTGCGTTGGCATCCTGACTCCTTGAGAAAGAGCCGGTCTGGCGTCCCTCTCGCCGTTGTTTCCAGCAACGTGGCCCTTCTTCCAGCTTTAGGGTGTCCTAAGCCCTTCCAGCTGTCCAGGTCACACTCTGTCACATGTCGGTAAGCATGGAAGAAGGGCCATGCTTCTCACCAGGCATTCCTCTCGCTGTTACCTTCCAGCACATGGCCTGTCTTTCAGCTTCAGGATGTCGTAAGCGCTTTCCCGCTTGGAAGCTTGGGACTTGCTGTTCCCACTGGTAGAATTCTCCCATGGCTGGCCACTTTGCAGTCTTCAGCTTTCTGCTGGCTGGGTTCTTGGTGTTCTTGACTACCCAAAAGTAGCTCTTTTAGTCTTACCTCTCCTCTCCTCTCCTCTCCTCTCCTCTCCTCTCCTCTCCTCTCCCTTTCCTCCCTCCCTCCCTCCCTCCCTTCCTTCCTTCCTTCCTTCCTTCCTTCCTTCCTTCCTTCCTTCCTTCCTTCCTTCCTTCCTTCCTTCTTTGCTTCCTTCCTTTCCTTTCTTTTTTCTTTTTTTTGATACGGAATCTTGCACTGTCGCCTGGGCTGGAGTGCAGTGGTGTGATCTGGGCTCACTGCAGTCTTCACCTCTCAGGTTCAAGAGATTCTCCTGCCTCAGCCTCCTGAGTAGCTGGGCTTACAGGCACCCACCACCATGCCCAGCTAATTTTTTTTCTTTTTTAGTGGGGACAGGATTTCACCATGTTGACCAGGCTGGTCTCAAACTCCTGACCTCGTGATTCTCCTACTTTGGCCTCCCAAAGTGCTGGCATTACAGGCGAGAGCCACCGCTCCCAGCCTAGTCTTACATTTTCTTTCGTGTCTTCACAGCACTCACCGCTCTCTGAAATTATCTTATTCATTTGTTGGTTTGCTTTATAACTTTTGGGCATCTCCCACTTGCCCTAGAAGAATTAAGAGCCTTAAAAATTTTTTTATTTTTATAGATTTGGGGTACAAGTGCAGTTTTGTTACGTGGATATATTTCATAGTGTTGAAGACTGGGCTTTTAGTGTATCCGTCACCCAAATAGTGTACATTGTAGCCAATAGGTAGTACTGTATCCCTCACCCCCTTCTCACCCTCCTACCTATGGGAGCCTCCAATATCTGTTTTCCACTCTGCTTGTCCATGTGTACCCATGGTTTAGCTTCCACTTAGAAGTGAGAACATGAGTTTTTTTGACTTTCTATTTCTCGGCCATTTCACTTAGGATAATGGTCTCTAGTTCCATCTATGTTGCTGCGGAAGACATGATTTCACTGTTTTTTATGGCTAAGTATTCCACGGCATATATATGTGATATGTGTCTGCTATATATACAGCACATGCATGTGACATATAAGCTATACATATGCTATCTAGATAGGATATCTATGTGATGTGTATGTTATCTAGATAGCATATATGTGATATTTATGGATATCTAGATATCTATGTGATATATATGCTATTTAGATAGCATATCTATATGATATATATACTATACATAGGGCATATGTATTTGGTATAGATATGCTATATATATGCTGTCTAGATAGCATATCTATGTGATATATATGCTCTCTAGATGGCATATATGTGATATATGTAGACATCTGTGATATATATGATATTTGGATAGCATATCTATGTGACAGACATGCTATATATAGGGCATTTGTATTGATATATATATGCTATCTAGACAGCATATCTATGTGATATATATGCTCTCTAGATAGCATATCTATGTGATCTCTCTAGATAGCATATATAATATATATAAATATATATTATGTATATATATAATATGTATAAATTTAATATAAGGTATACCTAAATATAATATATATAAAATATATAAATATATAAGATATATATAATATATAAATATATATGATATATAATTATATAATATATAAATATATATGATATATAATATATTTTATATATTATATATAACATATATAATTATATATTATATATGTTATATAAAATATATAGTATATTAATTATATATAACATATATAATTATATATTATTATATGTTATATAAAATATATAGTATATTAATTATATATAATATATAAAATATACAATATATATTTATATAATATATAATATATCTATTATAAATATATATTATATAATAAATATATATTATATGTTATTTTATATATAACATATAAATATATATTTATATTTATAAATAAATATAATATATATTTATTTATAAATATATTTATAAATATATATAACATAAATAAATTATAACATAAATATATATAACATATAAATAAAATATATATAATGTATAAATAAATATATAATATAAATATATATTTATATTATATATAAATATATATTATAAATATATATTTATATTATATATAATTAATATATAATATATATTATAAATATATATATATATATATATATAGACACCACTTGTATCTAGTTCTAAAACACTTCACCAACCCCCAAATAAAATCTCATCCCCACGAGTGCTCACTCTCATTCCCCTGTCCCCTCGGTTCCTGGTAACCACTCATCTGCTCCCTGTCTCTATAGATTTGCCTGTTCTGGACATTTCATGTCAATGGAATCTCACACTATATGGCCTTTTGTATCTGGCTTCTCTCACTCAGCATCGTGGTTTCAAGATTTGTCCATGTTGTAGCATGGATCAGTGCTTTCTTCCTTTTCATGGCTGAATCATATTCCATTGCATTTATATATCATAACTTTGTTTATCCATCTGACCAGTGATGGACATTTGTTTTTCGCCTGTGAACTTCATGAGGGCATTGATTTTGCCTCTCTTATTTACCATTGTATTCCACCACCGAGCACCCAGCACAGATAGTGGCTCACGACAAGCACTCAGTAAGTATTTATTAGATGAATATATAAGTGGAAGAATCAATAAATGTTTTATTTTTATTTTATTTTATTTTTTCAGACAGGGTCACACTCTGTCACCCAGGCTGGAGTGCAGTAGCAAGATCATGGCTCACTGCAGCCTCAACCTCCTGGACTCAAGGGGTCCTCCCACTCTCAGCCTCCCAGGTAGCTAGGACTATGGGCATGTGCCACTATGCACGGCTTATTTTTTAATTTTTTTTTTTTTTGTAGAGACAGAGTCTTGCTATGTTTCCCTGACTGGTCTTGAACTCCTGAGCTTAAGCAATTCTCCTGCCTCGGCCTACCAGTGTGCTGGGATTACAGGCATGAGCCACCGTGCCTGTCCAAATATTTTCGTATTGAGTGAATGAGAGGCGCGACCGTCAAGAAAGAATGAATGACCCTGGGTTTGTAACTAAGGGATCATTCAGTAATGGGGCGGGGGAAATAAGATGGGCAACCAGCGACTCCTACACCAGCCATGCTGGAGACCCACCATTATGTTCTTTAGGGCCACTAGCAAGAGATGGGGCCAGATAACATTTGGTGATGGAGGCTTGGGAATATGGGGTTAGCACAGTCATTTGCTGCTTGGACCAGTGATATCTGGTTCAACAAATTTTCATGAGCATCAGGAGAGTATTATGGTCTGTATTCTGGATCCAAATGAGCTAGGATTCAAATTATGATTCTGCCACTTACTGTCCACGTGACCTCAAGCAATTCACTTAACATCTCTGTGCCTGCATTGCCCCATCTGTCAACTCAGATAATAGGATTGTGGCATGGAGACAATGAGCTGATATGAATGAAGTGCTTAGCACCTCGGCTGACACCTAGTAAGCATTATGTAAGTGTTTACTTTTTACTTTTATTAATGGAATGAACCCACGAATGAGCTATTTCAAAACCAGAAGCGGTCCAGAGAGGGTTTCACAAAGAACCTGGGAGACATCTCACGTGAGATGCCCTTCTGCACACAGCCATCTACCTTTGCTTTGTTCGTGAAGTACTTCCACCTTCCCAACCGGGGGATCTCATCTGGGTAGGCTTGCTGCCTGGTGTATGAAGCACCTCTATTGGGCAGAACTTGTACCAAGCTACCTGAGACACACTTAGGAAGCTTTCTCATGCCAGATCTACGTGTGAGGATTTTGGCTTCCACATGGCTCTCTGGTGAAATGCGTTAGGGCTATGGAAGTGGGTGCAGACTGTTACATTCTGGCTTTTTATTAGTCCAACACACTGACACCAACGTGCTGCTAGTATATGATACTATTATCTAAGCATTGAAATTGGTGCAGACCATTGCTTAATCGGGCCAACTTCTCATTTCCATCTCCCAACCCCAGCTTCCGTTCTCTATATCAGCTTCCAAAACCTCACTGCTAGCTCCTGGCTTTGATGACCCATTTTGGACACTTCTCTAGCCTGATGTGTATTTGAAGAACAGGTGAGTTATCTCCTTTTTTGTTTTTTATTTTTATTTTTTTGAGATGGAGTTTCACTCTTGTTGCCTAGGCTGGAGTGCAGTGGTGCGATCTCGGCTCACTGCAACCTCTGCCTCCTGGGTTCAAGTGATTCTCCTGCCTCAGCCTTCTGAGTAGCTGGGATTACAGGCGCCCACCACCACGTCCCACTAATTTTTTGTATTTTTAGTAGAGATGGGGTTTCACCATGTTGGCCAGGCTGTTCTCGAACTCCTGACCTCAGATGATCCGCCCAACTCAACCTCCCAAAGTGCTGGGATTATAGGCATGAGTCACCGTGCTCTGCTTTTTTTTTCTTTCTTTTTTTTTCTTTTTTCTGACAGGGTCTTGCTTTGTTATCCAGGGTAGAGTACGGTGGCACCATCATGGCTCACTGCAACCTTGAACTCCTGGGCTTAAACAATCCTCCTGCCTCAGCCTCCTGGGTAGCTGGTACTACAGGCATGTGCTACCATGCCTGGCTAATTGAAAAAATGTTTTGTAGAGACAAGATCTTGCTACGTTGCCCAGGCTAGTCTTAAACACCTGGGCTCAGACAAGCCTCCTGCCTTGGCCTGCCAAAGCTCTGGGGTTTCAGGTGTGAGCAACTGCGCCTGGCCTGTCTGGAAGGAGCCATTCATTGCCGGGCTGGGATTAGCTCTCAGTTTCCAGGTGATTCACTTATGTGGGTCTGAACAGAAACAATGATGTTCAAAAAATCCTACAGAAACATTATGTACATAAGCCCGAGGACTGGGAAAATTTTTCACTACTCTTCAAGCCTAAATACCTCTCTTAAACTAACAAATAAGCTGTGAAAGCAATGTATGCACATTGTATAAAATGTATAAAATACGGGAAAACATAATGAAATGAATAAGAATCTTTTTTTTTTTTTTTTTTCTGGAGACAGAGTCTCACTCTGTCACCCAGGCTGAAATGAAGTGGCACAATCTCAGCTCACTAAAGCCTCCAATTCCTGGTCTCAAGAGATCTTCTTGCCTCAGCCTCCTGAGTAGCTGGAACTACAGGTGCATGTCATCACACATGACTAATTTTTTTTTTTTTTTTTTCGTAGAGATGAGGTTTTGCTATGTTGCCCAGGCTGGGTCTTGAACTCCTGACTTCAAGCCATCCTCCTGCCTCGCCCTCTCAAAGTGCTGGGATTATGGCCACGAGCCACTGTGGCCAGCCTTATTTTTTATTGTACTATGCAGAGATACCTATTCTGAACTCGCTCTTGATTTCACTGTAACCATTTCCATGTTCATTCCCCCCCATGCCTCCGTGTGTGTGCGTGTGTGTGTGCATGTACACAATTATAGTTATACATATTTCCCTCCTTCCAATATGCTGAAGCCCAAACACTTCTTTTTTTTTTTTTTTTTTTTTTGAGACGGAGTCTCGCTCTGTCGCCCAGGCTGGAGTGCAGTGGCCGGATCTCAGTTCACTGCAAGCTCTGCCTCCCGGGTTTACGCCATTCTCCTGCCTCAGCCTCCCGAGTAGCTGGGACTACAGGCGCCCGCCACCTCGCCCGGCTAGTTTTTGGTATTTTTAGTAGAGACGGGGTTTCACCATGTTAGCCAGGATGGTCTTGATCTCCTGACCTTGTGATCCGCCCGTCTCGGCCTCCCAAAGTGCTGGGATTACAGGCTTGAGCCACTGCGCCCGGCCTGAAGCCCAAATACTTCTAACTCAGGCCAATAGGGAGTTATATTTCTTTGTGAAATTAGCTCTCTGATTTTTATTTATTTTATTTATGTATTTATTTTTTTTTAGAGACAGAGTCTCGCTCTGTTGCTCAGGCTGGAGTGCAGTGGCGTGATCTTGGCTCACTGCAACCTCCTACTGCTGGGTTCAAGCAATTCTCCTGCCTCAGCCTCCTGAGTAGCTGGGCGCCACCACACCCAGCTAATTTTTTGTATTTTAGTAGAGATGGAGTTTCACCGTGCTGCCCAGGTTGGTCTCAAACTCCTGAGCTCAGGCCATCCGCCTGCCTTGGCCTCCCAAAGTGCAAGGATTACAGGCACAAACCACGGCACCTGGCAGCTCTCTTGATTTTCATAATAAAGAACACTTTACAGAAATTCGTTTTTGCCACCATCCCTGCTGGGGCCACCTGTTCAATATACTGATTCATGCAATGTAGGGAGCAGAATTCTGCTTTTGGGTGAAATTGAGTGAAATTGCAGAATGGATGAAGAAGGAGAACCTTCTAAAACTTCTAGCCTTTTTTCTTTTTCTTTCTTTTCTCTTTTTTTTTTTTTTTTTTGGCATTACATGGAGATGCCCTTCGCTGTGAAATCTTGTTAGGTAATTATCAGAGACCCCTTTTTAGGTTCCCCGATGTCTTCCCTTCTGGGACACCAGATTCTACTTTTAGTAGGTGCCCCTCTTTCTCCTGGAGATAATCACATCAATTGGTCTCTCATTCCAGGGGGATATGACCTAGAATCTGTTTTGTCTTTGAGAAATGAGGTCGCTTTTCTGGTGGAGGCGTCAGGAGACGGTGGGAAGCCCCAGGCTGGGAGAGGAGGTGCTTCCTGGTTCTTCTCTGTCATCTCCTGCAAAGGCAGTGACCCTGCTGGTCAGTGAGTGACAAGGACCTGTGTCTATGGCTATACCCTCGATCAATCCCTTAAAATGGCTCAGGCAGGCCAGGCATGGTGGCTCATGCCTATAATCCCAGCACTTTGGGAGGCCGAGGTAGGCGGATCACTTGAGGCCAGGAGTTTGAGACCAGCCTTGCCAATATTGTGAAACCCCGTCTCTACAAAAATGCAAAAATTAGCTGGGAGTGGTGGCACGTGCCTGTAATCCCAGCTACTCAAGAGGCTGAGGCATGAGAATTGCTTGAACCCGGGGGGCAGAAGTTGCCATGAGCTGAGATTTTGTCATTGTGCTCTAGCCTGGGCAAGACAGAGGCTCTATTACAAAAAACAAAACAACAACAACAACAACACCCCACCAAAAACAAAAAGACAAAAACCAAAAACACAAACCAAAAACAAACAAACAAACAAAAATAATGGCTCAGGCATCCATCATCAATGTCTTCCCGCAATGGACAAATTCCATAGTTTCTTTTCTATCCTGCTCAACTTGACCTCCTGGGAGCTTTGAAATTGTCAGCCCCCTGTGACTTGAATCCCCTCCCCTGTGCTCTTTCACATGTTTCCTTTTTCACCTCTACTCTGTGTTCTTTACTATCCGGTTGTCCGCCATCCACCCCTCAAAAATGGTGGGTTTCTTTTTCAGCTGGGTTAGGCATCTTCAGATGGCCCTGAATGGTCCCCACCTCCTGATCTTCATGTCCTGTGTAATCCCTTGAGTGTGGGCTGGACCTGATGACTCACTTGTAACCAAAAGGCTATGGCAAACGTGATAGATGCCGCTTCTGAGATTAGATTACAAAGTGATCATGGCTTCTGTTCTGCTCTATCTTGCTTGTACTTTCACTTGCTCACTCTAAAGAAATCCAAGTCAGGCATGGTGGCTTATGCCTGTAATCCCAGCACTTTGGGAGGCTGAGATAGGAGGATTGCTTGAAGCCAGGAGTTTGAGGCTAGCCTGGGCAACATAGCAAGACCCCGTTTCTTAAAAAAAACAACAAACAAACAAAACAAAACAAAAAACATCTGGGTGTGGTGGTACATATCTGGAATCTGAGCTACTCAAGAGGCTGGGGTGGGAGGATTGCTTGAGCCCAGGAGTTGGAGGTTGCAGTGAGCTATGATTGCGCCACTGCACTCCAGCCTGGGTAACAGAGCAAGATCCTGTCTCAAAACAAAACAAAACAAAAATAATAAGAGAAATAGCGCGTACATCAAACTTTCATTCTCCATTCACTTCTCATTCCTCACTTTTTCCTTGGAAAATCTTTTTCACATTAGTGAATTTGGGTATTAATAGTTAGGTTAGGGCCAGGTGTGGTGGCTCACACCTGTAATCCCAGCACTTTGGGAGACTGAGGCAGGTGAATTGCTTAAGCCCAGGAGTTTGAGACCAACCTCGGCAACATGATAAACCCTGGCTCTACACAAAATAGAAAAATTAGCCGGGGATTATGGTGTGTGCCTGTGGTTCCAGCTACTCTGGAGGCTGAAGAAGGAGAATCACCTGAGCCAAGGGAGGTCGAGGCTGCAATGAGCCCTGATTGTGCCACTGTACTCCAGCCTGGGGGACAGAGTGAGACCCTGTCTCAAGAAAATAAAAAGGTTAGGAAGACTGTGGCTTTACAACCAATGGGTAGGTTCAATGAAGTGAACCTCAAGTTTAGAATGGCATCCAAGTTCCTTACCATAATCTGCAGAATTCCAGTTTCTTAGCATCTGGTCCCATCCCACCTTTCCTTCCGTTTCCCACATCTCTGTCCAAAGAGATGAAAGTATCAGTCATGATGTGCTCACCATCCGTGTTTAATCTCATAGTCTTTGCATTTGTTTTTCCTCTCTCTGAAATGTTCTTTCTCCTCTGAAATGTTCTTATTCTGCATTTGTGTATGGCTTACTCCCTTTCTTGTTTTGGGTCTCTGCTCAAATATTATCTCTTAAAGAAATCTTCTTTGACTACTTGGTTTGAGGTCTCACACCACCGGGCTATGCTCCATACCGCCTCCCCTCACAGCTGTTGTCAGTTTGTAATTCTTTTGCTTCCCTCTCTAGAATGTCAGCTCCTTGGTGGGTATCTCATTTGTCTTAGTTATTACTGAATCTACAGTTCCCAGCCCGGTTCCTGGATCAAAGTAGACCCTTAATATTTGTTTGTTGAATGACATAATGATGACTGCTCTGCCATGCTAAAACATACTCCTTGTGTGTGGACCAACCAAGGACTTTCTTCTGCTTCTGCTATGAACATTCCTGTTCTAGCTGTTCAACCTTCAAACATCTTTTCTGTTTGTGGGATAACCCAAATTAGGTGTGAAGAAGAACTGATGAAAGACCTTATCTACTGTTATGGGTTGAACTGTGCCTCTTAAAAAAGGTATGTTGGAGTTCTCCCCGTGGTACATGTGAATGTGATGTTATTTGGAATTAGGGTCATTGCAGATGTAATTAAGGTAAGGTGGTACTAGAGTAGGGTGGATCCTACTCCTGTCCTTATGACAAGTTAGCCATGTATATAAGAGAACAGAGATGCATGGGGAGAATGCTGTGTGAAAACGTAATGATCAACAAAGGAAATGGCATCAATATGTCAAGGAGATATCTGCACTCCCCATGTTTATTGCAGCACTGTTCACAGTAGCCAAGATATGGAATGAACCTGAGTCCATCTGGTTGGATAAAGCAAATGTGGCACATACACACAACAGAATACTATTTAGCCATTAGAAAGAAGGACATCCTGTCATTTGCAACAACCTGGATGAAGCTGGAGGACATTAGGCTAAATGAAATAACCCAGGCACAAAGACAAATATTGCATCTTGTCACTTATATGTGGAAGGTAAAAAAGTCAAACTCGTAGAAACAGAATAAAATGGTGGTTGCCAGAGGCTAGGATTGTGGGCAGTTGGGGAGATGTTGGTCAGAAGACACAAAATTTTAGTTAGAAGGGAGGAATAAGTTCAACAGATCTATTATACATCGTGGCAACTATAGTTAATGACAATATATTACAGAGAGATATGCCTCAACTTATGATAAGGTTACATCTTGATAAACCCATCATAACTTGAAAATATTGTAAGTCAAAATGCATTTAATAAGTATAACCTACTGGCCAGCATAGCTTAGTCTCATCTGCCTTAAACATGCTCAGAACACTTACATTAGCCTACAGTTGGGCAAAATCATCTAACACAAAACCTATTTTATAATAAAATGTTGACTATCTCATGTAATTTATTGACTATTGTATTGAAGGTGAAAACAAGAATGATTGTGTGGCCACTCAAAGGATGGTTTCTACTTGGCACCATTGTAGAGTCAAAAAATCACAAGTTGAACTATTGGAAGTTGGAGACTGTCTGTACTTGAAAATTGCTGAAAGAGATTTGCAGTGTTCTCACCACAAAAAATGGTTAGCATGTGAGATAATGCATGTAAACCGAAAAGTATCTCAGATGAGTCTCAATCAGTTTAGAAGTTTATTTTGCCAAGGTTATTGACATGCCTGTGACACAGGAGAGGTCCTGATGACATGTGCCCAGGGTCTTTGGGCTACAACTTGGTTTTATAGATTTTAGGCAGACATGAGACATCAATCAATACATGTTAGGTGTACATTGGATCGATCCAGAAAGGTGGGACAACTTGAGGTGGGGAGGAGTTGGGGGGCTTCCAAGTCATAGGCGGATTCAAAGATTTTCCAACTGGCAATTGATTGAAAAAGTTTATATAAAGATATGGAATCCATAGAAGAGAGTGTCTGGATTCCTATAAGGGGTTGTGGAGACCAAGGTTCTTATTTTGCAGATGAAGCCACCAGGTAGCAGGCTTCAGAGAGAGTAGATTTTAAATGTTTCTTATCAGACTTAAAAAGTTTCCAGACCCAGTTAATTCTCTCCTGGATCAGGGAGAAGACCTGGAAAGGAGAAGGGATGCTCTAAAGAGTGTAGATTTTCCCCACAAGAGACGGCTTTGCAGGGCCATTTCAAAATATGTCAAAGAAATATATTTTAGAGTAAAATACCTCAATTTCTTTCAGGACCTGCAATCTGTCATGTGATGCTATACTAAAGTAATTTGGAATTTGGTGTCTTATTGCTACAAAAAGTCTTAAGATCTCTGTTTTTTTTTTTTTTTTTTTTTTTGTCTGTTTGTTTGTTTTTTGAGACAGAGTCTCACTCTGTTGCCCAGGCTGGAGTACAGTGGCATAATCTTGGTTCACTTGGTTCACTTGGATCTCTGCCTTCTGGGTTCTAGTGATTCTCTTGCCTCAGCCACCTGAATAGCTGGGACTACAGGCATGTACTACAATGACCAGCTAATTTTTGTATTTTTAGTAGATACAGGGTTTCACCATGTTGGCCAGGCTGGTCTTGAACTCCTGACCTCAAGTGATCTGCCCACCTCGGCCTCCCAAAGTGCCTGGATTACAGGTGTGAGCCACCACACCTGGCCAAGATCTCTGTTTTAATGTTAATGCTGGTCAGCTATGCCTGAATTCCAAATGGAGGAGGGCATAATGCGGCATGTCTGATTCCATCTTCCCATCATGGCCTGAACTACTCTTTCAGGTTAACTTTGGAATGCCCTTGGCCAAGAGGAGTCCATTCAGATGGTTGGTAGGGCATAGAATTTTATTTTTAGTTTACATGCATATGTTAATAGCTTGATTTAGTCATTCCATAATGCATACACACACAGACACACAGACACGTACACACACACACGCAAACATCATATTGTACATCATAAATATATGCAATTTTTTTTTTTTTTTTTTGAGATGGAGTCTTGCTCTGTCGCCCAGGCTGGAGTGCAGTGGCCGGATCTCAGCTCACTGCAAGCTCTGCCTCCCGGGTTCACGCCTTTCTCCTGCCTCAGCCTCCCGAGTAACTGGGACTACAGGCGCCCGCCACCTCGCCCGGCTAGTTTTTTGTATTTTTTAGAAGAGACGGGGTTTCACCATGTTAGCCAGGATGGTCTCGATCTCCTGACCTCGTGATCCACCCGTCTCGGCCTCCCAAAGTGCTGGGATTACAGGCTTGAGCCACCGCGCCCGGCCAATATATGCAATTTTTACTTGTCAATTCAAAAAAAGACATGAAGATTGGAGTGGAGGATATACAAGCCAAGAAATGCCCAGGATTCTTGGCAACTATGGGAAACTAGAATGAGGCAAGGAAAGATTCTCCTCCAGAGGTTTGGAAGGAGCACAGCCCCACCAACACCTTGATTGCAGATTTCTGCCTTCCAAGACTGTGTGAGAATAAATTCCTGTTGCTTTCAACCAGACAATTTGCAGTGATTTGTTATGGCAGGCCTAGGAAACTAATATAATGGCTTCTGCTCCATTAGCTGAGGGTCCCCGGCCTATTCCTGGCCTATCTCTATGTGGCATTGCCTATCACAGATAGGAGCACCGGGGAAGCATCTCAAATAGCAAAGCAAGAGAGAAGCAGCCACTTGCTCTCTTGGCTGCCTGAAGCTCATCTTCTTCTTCTTTTTTTTTTTTTTTTTGAGACGGAGTCTTGCTCTGTCGCCCAGGCTGGAGTGCAGTGGAACGATCTCGGCTCACTGCAAGCTCCGCCTCCCGGGTTCACGCCATTCTCCTGCCTCAGCCTCCTGAGTAGCTGGGACTACAGGCGCCCGCCACTGAGCCCGGCTAATTTTTTGTATTTTCAGTAGAGACGGGGTTTCCCCGTGGTCTCGATCTCCTGACCTTGTGATCCGCCCGCCTCGGCCTCCCAAAGTGCTGGGATTACAGGCGTGAGCCACCGCCCCCGGCTGAAGCTCGTCTTCTAATTTCCTGGTTTCCCACCTTAACCTGCCCCAATGCTGCCATTTTCTGGGGATTCCTTTAAGCGACAAACCCCAAATATCTGAGACAAGTCTTAGTCAATTTAGGAAGTTTATTTTGCCAAAGTTAAAAATGAGTGCCTGTGACACATCCTCAGGAGGTCCCGATGACATGTGATCCAGGTGGTCTGGGCACAGCTTGGTTTTCTACATGTTAGAGAGACATGAGACATCAGTAAATATGTGTAAGAAGTACATTGGTTCCACCCAGAAAGGTGGGACAACTCAAAGCGGGGAGGAGGATTCCAGGTCATAGGTAAGAGACAAATGGTTGCGTTCTTTTGAGTTTCTGATTCGCCTTTCCAAAGGAGGCACGCAGATATGCATTTATCTCAGTGAGCAGAGGGATAACTGAGTTCTGTCTGTCCTTTGCCTGCGAGGAAATTCCTTGTGAGGGAGATATGTACCTCTTTTATCTTAGTAGCTATCTTTTTTAGGAATAGAATCAGAGGCATGTTTGTCCTAAGTAGTTCCCAGCTTGACTTTTCCCTTTGGCTTAGTGATTTCTGGGTCCCAAGATTTATTTTCCTCTCACACTCCACCAGATTCTCCAAGGCAGGGAGCCCATTGTTATCCACAAAAATCCACCTCCTGGGGTGCAGAGCAAGTTGGAGGGGTGCATCCTTTCTACCTTCTGGAGAAGGATGGAGAGTAGACTTGGGGGCCCACTAGAAAATTTTTCTTTTCTAATAGCTTGATTGATTGGTCGAGTGACTTGATAAGTATTTACTGAGCATCTGCTCTGTGTCAGGCGCCAGGCTCAGAGCCAGGAGAGGAGAGCAGTAAGATGAATTTTCTCTTGTCTCCTGGAGCTTGTCATTCAGTGGGAAAAATGAAAAACTAAAATAAACCATCAAGATCATGTCAGATAGAAGTAACAGCTTAAGGTACAAAGAAAGGAAGAAGAAGAAGGAGAAGGAGAAACAGAAGAAGAAAGAAGAAGAGGAAGAAGGAGGAGGAGGAGGAGAAGGAGGAGGAGGAGGAGGAGGAGGAGGAGGAGGAGAATAAACTGACCAATTGGCAGGATTCTAATATATCTGCTTCTAAGTGTACAGTTCAGTGGCATTAGGTACAATCACATTGTTGTGCAACCATCACCTTCATCTGTCTTCCCAGCTGAAACTCAGTACCCATGAAACAATAACTCCGCATTCTCCTCGCAACTCTGCAGTCCCTGGCAACCAATGTTCTACTTTTTGTCTTTACTTTGGCTATTCTTTTTATCTCTTATAAGTTGAATCATACAATGCTTGTCCTTTTGCATTTGGCTTCTTTCACTTAGCCCACTGTCCTCAAGGTTTATTCATGTAACAAGTAGGCATGATTCTAACTTTGAACTAAGACAAATATCTCCACCTGGAAAGCAGTTCACCAACAATTTAGTGTTGATTATAAATAGGATTTGATTGATTTTTTTCTACCATGTTTCCTTCTATTCTTTCTGCATTTTTCAGATTTTCTGCAATGAACATGAATTACCTTAATCCTTACCTTAAGGAACATGAAATCCTTAAGGTCTTTAAAATGGACACCCCCTTTTCCTTCTGTCTCTCTTCTTCATCAATGATATTACCATCTAATGTTCTTTTCTAGGGTACCCTAGCTCCTGGATCTACCACCGATCTACCATCTCTCTTCTTCTATGAGGTCAACTGAGGATGCTTCTACTACTATACTTTACTTTTTTAATGTCAAATTGTATTTTTGTTCACCCTTAAGCAACTATTGATGCCAACATTGGGGATCTGGACTTTTAATATATGTTTTAATTAAAAATTTAAAAATTGACAAAAACTGTATTTGTGTATCAAGTATAGCATAATGTTTTATAGTATATGTATATATTGTGGAATGACTAAATCTGGTGAATTAACATATGCATTCCCTCATATGGTTATCATTTTTGTGGTGAAGCATTTGCATCTGCTCCCTTAGCATTTTTTAGGAATAAGGTAACCATGCTGTCCAATAGATGTCTTGAACTTTTTTCTCCTATCTAACTGAAATTTGCCATCCTTTGACCAAAATCTTCCCAACCACCCAAGCCTATGGTAACCATTTTTCTACATTTTTTTCCTTTCTTTTCTTTCTTTCTTTTTTTTTTTTTGGAGAAAAAAGTGAAACAAGAAGTTTCACTCTTGTTGCCCAGGCTGGGGTGCAGTGGTGTGATCTCGGCTCTCTGCAACCTCCACCTTCACGGTTCAAGCAATTCTCCTGCCTCAGCCTCCCAAGTAGCTGGGATTGCAGGCATGCACCACCACACCTGGCTAATTTTTGTATTATTTGTAGAGACGGTGTTTCACCGTGTTGGCCAGGCTGGTCTCGAACTTCTGACCTCAGGTGATCCACCAGCCTTGGCTTCCCAAAGTGCTGGGATTACAGGTGCGAGCCACCACGCCCGGCCACTCTACTCTCTTTTTCTACGAGTTCAACATTTTAGGATTCCATATATGAGTGAGATCATGCAGTGTGTGTCTTTCTGTACCTGGCTTATTTCCTGTAACATCACGTTCTCTGAGTTCACCCCTGTGGTTGCAAATGGCAGGATTTCCTTTTTTTTTTTTTTTATGGCTGAATACGATCCCATTGTGATTATACTCTACCACCTGCCTGCTTATTTTTCTTCTTCCTCTTCTAAATACCTATCAAGAGGGAAGTCTGAGCAGAAAGAAACTCAGGATGGCGCACTCAAACTTTTTAAGGAATAGAATGGCAGGGGGGATTGCCCTGAGCAGCTCCCAGCTTGACTTTTCCCTTTGGCTTAGTGATTTTGGGGTTCCCAAACTCATTTTCCTTTCACAAAGCCAACCCCATCAGATTCTCCAAGGTAGGCAGCCCATTGATAGCCACAAAAATCCACCTTCTGGGGTGCAGAGCAAGTCGGAGGGTTGCATTCTCGCTACCCCCTGGAGAAAGATGGAGAGTAGACTGGGTAGTTTGAGGGGAGTTGGGACAAGGTGTGGGAGGGGCTAAAGAAACCACACAGGATTGCAGAATCCATGCATTTCCCTGGAGCAGGCAGCATCTGGGAGTTATTACCACTCCTGGGCAGATGCAGAGAGGGGAGGGAGCTGTTACTACTGGAACCTAGAGACGGCTGCCAGCCAGGACCCTGTGCTCTGCAGTCTAAGGCCAATCTGCAGGGGGATGCAGGGAGGGACCCAGGAAATGAATACTCTGGTCTCACCCTCTTTCATCCCTCTTGCCTCCTGTAAGGGCTTCCCATTGCTTGAAGCCAACCAGAAGACAGAAGACAAGGCTTCCTGTTGGTTTGGTCCATGAACCTGGACACAGAACAAGGGGAGGACAGATGGAGAACGCCCCTGGAGGCCATCTAGAAGGTCTCCAGCATCATTTCGTGTGGAGCCCTGAGTTAAAAGAAAAATTAAAGAATGGGCTTCTCTGGGGTTGACAGAAGCAAATGTTCTGAGAAACGAGGTCAACTGCAAAAGGCCCACTAGCACCTAGTGCTCAGCTCACAGCCCACCTGCACCCTAGCATACTGTCTGCAAGGATTCAGCTCACAGCCCACCTGCACCCAACATCCTGTCTACAAGCATTCAGCCCACAGCCCACCTGCACCCTAGCATACTGTCTACAGGCATTCAGCTCACAGCCCACCTGCACCCAACCATCCTGTCTATAGGCATTCAGCTCACAGCCCACCTGCACCTAAGCAATCCTGTCTACAAGCATTCAGCTCACAGCCCACCTGCACCCAACTATCCTGTCTACAAGCATTCAGCTCACAGCCCACCTGCACCCAACCATCCTGTCTACAAGCATTCAGCTCACAGCCCACCTGCACCCAACATCCTGTCTACAAGCATTCAGCTCACAGCCCACCTGCACCAACATCCTGTCTACAAGCATTCAGCTCACAGCCCACCTGCATCCAACCATCCTGTCTACAAGCATTCAGCTCACAGCCCACCTGCATCCAAGCATCCTGTCTACAAGCATTCAGCTCACAGCCCACCTGCATCCAACTATCCTGTCTACAAGCATTCAGCTCACAGCCCACCTGCACCCAACTATCCTGTCTACAAGCATTCAGCTCACAGCCCACCTGCACCCAACTATCCTGTCTACAAGCATTCAGCTCACAGCCCACCTGCACCCAACTATCCTGTCTACAAGCATTCAGCTCACAGCCCACCTGCATCCAACCATCCTGTCTACAAGCATTCAGCTCACAGCCCACCTGCATCCAAGCATCCTGTCTACAAGCATTCAGCTCACAGCCCACCTGCATCCAACATCCTGTCTACAAGCATTCAGCTCACACCCACCTGCACCCAACATCCTGTCTACAAGCATTCAGCTCACAGCCCACCTGCACCCAACATCCTGTCTACAAGCATTCAGCTCACAGCCCACCTGCACCCAACCATCCTGTCTACAAGCATTCAGCTCACAGCCCACCTGCATCCAACCATCCTGTCTACAAGCATTCAGCTCACAGCCCACCTGCACCCAACCATCCTGTCTGCAAGCACTTAGCTCAAGCAGCACGACCTTATACAATTTTCCCTCCAGCCCCTGCCTCTTTGCAGACAGCAGACAACCTTCCTTCTGCTGTCTTACCCATTGCATCCTTGCAATGCATGTCCCCCTTTCTTTAATAAATCTGCCTTTTAAAACTCACTCTTGTCTTGGTAAATTCCTTTACCCCCTGCATGCAGGTCTCAAACAGTTGTTGACCATGACATCTCTCACTAAGACAGAGTTGCCAGGATGGTACCAGGCCTCCCCTCCCAGTGCAATGCCGGGCAGAAAGTATATGTTAATAAATGTTGATGAAATAGCCAGGAATGAGAAGGAGACTGACTTTTTAAAATTATAAAATACACATAACGTAACATTGACCATTTCAACGTCGATGGTTCAGTGACTTTAGTACATTTGCAGTGTTGTGCTACCATCATCATTACCAAGTTTGACTACAGTTTTCACCTTCACAGAAGGAAACCCTGTACCCATTAGCAGTCATTCACCATCGCCCCCCGACTCCAGCCCTGGGCAACCACTAATTGGATGTCTCTCTTTATGGATTTACCTGAGCTGGGTATTTTATATAAATATAAGCGCAGACTGAATTTGGGAGGGGGTATCCTGAATCCCTCAGTTCTGACTTTCCCCTTTTTATCTCCCCTGAAATTCTACTTTTAGACAATTCGCTTGCATATCAGGTCACTCTGGTAATGAAAGAGGGGGGATCAGGAGAGGGAGACCTGGTCCTCCTCCCACCTCCTCTGCTCCCTCTGGGGCCCTGGGAACGGTGGGGAAGCTGTTAGCTGATAATGAGACCCCCGCTCCCTTAATGACTCTGGGGGCTGCGGGGATGCCTCAGGCTAGCTCTGCCCTAATTAATTAATAGGGAGCGTTTCCCACAGAGGAATTAGCCTCAATTCCTCAGTCTCAGGCTCTTCTTGGCTCAGCTCATGTTCAAGCTCCACCTTACAGCTGGGGCAGTCGTCTGGGGCAGCCTGGGGTGCTCCGTCTGCACTGCCCTGCCCTTCTAATGCTAGAGCCAGAGTTGGAGCCTCTGATCAGAGTGGACCGGGGGTGACTGGAGGTTTCAGCCAGACAGATGTGAGCTCCAATCTAACTCCACTCAATTTTTTTTTTTTTTCTTGAGACAGAGTCTTGCTCTGTAGCCCAAGATGGAGTGCAGTGGCACGATCTTGGCTCACTGCAACCTCCACCTCCCGAGTTCAAGTGATTCTCCTGCCTCAGCCTCCTGAGTAGCTGGGATTACAAGTGCGCACCACCTGTCTGCCCACCTTGGCCTCCCAAAGTGCTGGGATTACAGGCGTAAGCTGCCACACCTGGCCCTGACCCTGCTCTTTATTAATTCTGAGGCCTGCTGCTTAACCTCTTTGAGACCCTTTTATATCCATAAAAGGGAGCTGGCAGCCTTTACTGTTGAGAGAGCAAGAGATCCACAAGGCCACGATGAGGTTAAGATACCAGTCCTGCATGCAAAATATAAGGTAGCACCAAAAAACTCGGCGACTAAACTAAATAATGTTCCAATGTCAATAATTAAAAAAAACCAACAACTCATGAAATTAACGCAAACAATCCATGGTTAAACCAAATAGCAGAATGTTCAAGACGGAATCAGTAAGCATGTTGAACTGAGTCATACAGGAGCCTAAAAAGCGGAAGGCACTGGGCACAGTGGCTCACGCCTGTAATCCTAGCACTTTGGGAGGCCGAGGCGGGCAGATCACCTGAGGTCAGGAGTTCGAGACCAGCCTGGCCAACGTGGTGAAACCCCGTCTCTACAAAAAATACAAAAATTTACTGGACGTGGTGGTGGGCACCTGTAATCCCAGTTACTTGGGAGGCTGAGGCAGGAGAATCGCCAGAACCCAGGAGGCGGAAGTTGCAGTGAGCTGAGATCACACCACTGCACGACAGAGCAAGACTCCATCTAAAAAAAAAAGCAGAAGGAAACGTAGGAACTTTGGTCCCGTCTTTATTTAACATGTTGATCTATTTTGTTCATTGTGGATTTTTTGTGTTCATTTGATTTCTAAAAAGATTGCATTGAAATATTGTTTCTCTTTAATATTGAGGATTTTTGGCACTCCTTTACTTTTGTTTTATTGAAGTGAAATTTGTGTAATGTAAAATTAACTCTTTTTTTTTTTGGACACAGAGTCTCCCTCTGTCACCCAGGCTGGAGGGCAGTAGTGATATCTTGGCTCACTGCAACATCCTCCTCCTGGGTTCAAGCAATTCTGGTGTCTCAGCTTCCCAAGTAGCTGGGATTACAGGCGCACATCACCAGCAGCTAATTTTTGTATTTTTAGTAGAGATGGGGTTTCACCATGCTGGCCAGGCTGGTCTTGAACTCCCGACCTCTAGTGATCCATCCACCTCAGCCTCCCAAAGTGCTGGGATTACAGGCATGAGCCACCGCACCTAGTCAAATTAACTCTTAAAGAGTACAATTCCCGGTGTTCTGTAACCATCACCTCTATCTAGGTCCAGAACACTTCAATCACCCCAAAAGGAAATCTATACCCTTTAACAGTCACTCATCATTTCTCCCTCCTGCAGCCCCTGACAACCACGAATCTGCTTTCTAAATCTAGGATAGGATTTGCCTATTCTGGACATTTCATATAAACAGAATTATATACACTTACGTGGCCTTTTGTATCTGGCTTCTCTCACTCAGCATTATGGTTTTTTGTTTTGTTTGTTTGTTTTGTTTTTTTTGTTTTTTTTTGAGATGGACTCTCGCTCTGTCCCTCTGGCTGGAGTGCAGTGCCGCGATCTCAGCTCACTGCAAGCTCCGCCTCCTGGGATCATGCCGTTCTCCTGCCTCAGCCTCCTGAGTAGCTGGGACTACAGGCGCCCGCCACCGCGCCTGGCTAATTTTTTGGTATTTTTAGTAGAGACGGGGTTTCACCGTGTTAGCCAGGATGGTCTTGATCTCCTGACCTTGTGATCCGCCCGCCTCAGCTTCCCAAAGTGCTGGGATTACAAGCGTGAGCCACCACGCCCAGCCAGCATTATGTTTTTTAAGGTGTGTTTTAAAAATTATTTTTATTTTAAAATTTTATTGAAATGACAGATAAAATTGTGTGTATTTATTGTGTACAGCATGTTTTGAAGTATACACATACACATTGTGGAATGGCTAAATCTAGCTCACCAATATGTGCATTGCCTTCCAAAGTTTATTTTTGTGGTAAGGACATTTACAATGTACTCTCTCAGCATTTCTCTAGAATACAATGTATTGTTATTAACCAGAGTCACCATGTTGCACAATAGATCCCCTGAAATCATTCCTTTTTTAAAAAAAATTTTTTTATTTTAGACGGAGTCTTGCTCTTGTTGCCCAGGCTGGAGTGCAGTGGTGCGAATCTCAGCTCACTGCAACCTCCGCCTCCCAAGTTCAAGAGATTCTCCTGCCTCAGCCTCCCAAGTAGCTGGGATTACAGGTGTGCACCACCATGCCCGGCTAATTTTGTATTTTTAGTAGAGACAGGGTTTCACCATGTTGGCCAGGCTGGTCTCAAACTCCTGACCTCAGGTGATCCACCCACCTCAGCTTCCCAGAGTGCTGGGATTACAGGCGTGAGCCACCGCGCCCGGCAAAAATTATTCCTCTTTACCAACTGATATTCGGTATCCTTTGGCCACCATCTCCCCAATCCCCCTACTTAAGTCTCTGATAATCATCATTTTATTTTCTGCTGTTATGAGTTCAATTTTCTTTAGATTCCACTTGTAACTGAGATCATGTGGTATTTGTCTTTCAGTGCCTGGCTTATTTCACTCAACATAATGTTCTCTAGGTTCATCAAAAGGAAATCCTGTTATTTGTTCATGTTGTCATAAAGGACAGGATTTTCTTTTCTTACAACTGCATAGCATAGTATATTTAAAAATTCATTTCTCGGTGGACACTTAGATTGCTTCCATATCTTGACTATTGTGAATAACTTTGCAATGAGCATGGGGGTGCAGGTATCTCTTTGAGATACTGATTGCATTTCGTTTGGATATACATATCCGGTAGCGGGACTGCAGGATCATATGGTAATTCTATTTTAACTTTTTGAGAAACCTCCACACTGTTCTTTTTTTTCGAGACAGAGTCTTGCTCTGTTGCCCAGGCTGGAGTGCAGTGGCATGAACTTGGCTCACGGCAACTTCTGTCTCCTGGGTTCAAGTGAATCTCCTGCCTCAGCCTCCCCAGTAGCTGGGATTACAGGTGCACACCTGGCTGATTTTTGTATGTTTAGTAGAGACGGGTTTTCACCATGTTGGCCAGGCTGG